TGCTGAACTACAATTTCCATCAGCCCCAGAAAGCATGGCCAATGGCCAGAGGCATACCTAGGGGTTGGCAAGGTTGGCCCCTGCCAAGGGTGCAAGCTGTGTGTGCGTGTGTGCACACACACACGCAAAAACCATGCCTCTCTCAGCATCTCAGTGGAGGAACCCAGAAGCTGGCGTGAGCCATCGCAGCAGCCCTCTAGAGCCCCCTCTCCAGTCGGCTGGCAGCGCTGGCAGTTATTTTGTGCAATGAAGTTCCCCATGAAGATACTGCTGCTTGGTTCTCCAACTTAGTCATCTGCGATGACTGAATTGCACCATTTTCCCCCTAAAGACAGTGAGGGGCACAGATACATCTCCTTGCCAAGGGCGCAATGGACAGCGGGTGGGCGCCAATAAAACGTCTTGCCAAGGGTGCAAGGGAGCCGAAGTATGTCTGTGCCAATGGCCATAGATGATGGGAGTTATGCTTCATCAGCATCTAGAGGGCCAAATATTTCCCCATACTTGCTCTAGAGCTTCCCTGATGAGAGGATATTTGCCTCAACCCTTTCTTTCTTTTCTTTGCAATGACACCTCACCAAATGCTCAAAGCAAAACCACAATGGACATTTAGTTCTGGTGCACATCCAGTTGAACCAAGCTTCAGGATAGTTGTCCCCTTTCTCATTTTTTGTTTTGGTAAGCACAGAGGAGAGATTTTAAGAAACATACAGCAATCACTATCTCTTCCTCCTCCTCCCTCCTCCAACCCCCAGTGTTTAAAATCATCTCTGTGAATAATAAGCATGTTTGCTGAGCCAATTTAAAGCCAATTCTATTTAAGCCCCCAATATCACATCAAACGTACTTTTCTCTCCCCTTTTATCTGTGGCCTGGCTTGGCTAGCAGAGCACCTTAAATAGAAACTGCTGCCTTGGCTAAATGTTGCCTTTTGACAATTATAATAAATATCTGACAGTGAAGAAAATAAGAAAAGAGTCAGGCAGAGAATGATATTCCTTGTCATACATTAGACAAACTGGTGTGGAGGCTGGTACTCCCCCCACCCCTACCAATATTCTTTCTTTTTCTGTCAGTCCATTAGCTGCTGTTAATTTCCTTGTTCTCCATGGCAAAAGGTGGCTGAATTGGAGAGCCTGCTGGAAATATCACATAAATGGAGTGTAATACAATCCCATCTAGGAAACAAGCCTTGTGCTCGCAGAAAATACATCAGGACCTGCCCTCTCTGCTATTTTCTCCTGGGAAAAATGTGTGACCCATGAGTATTAAATGAAAATGCAGGGCTATCTATCTCTGGAATTGGAAGGGGCCTAATCGGTCAGATATAGAGCCTCTTCTTCTTCTGGTGCTTTTTCTTTTTTCCCTTGAAACTTCACAGACTCATCAGAAGAAAAGGCAAAAGTAAAACAGCCTGGGAACAAGACTCACATTCTGGCTGTTATTGGCTTTGGTGTCCTGTAGAGTGCTAGGAAAGATTACTGGGGGTGTGGCAAATGTTAAGAAAGGCAGGTTTTTAAGAAGGATCAGGGTTAAAACTGTAATTTGATATGCCGATAACGTGCTATTAAATAGGATCTGTGCATTGAGAGATTTGAAGTTTATTTTAAAGCTACTGGTGCATGTGTGTGGAACGGACATGGGCACACATGCAAGAATATACACGCAAGTTTAAGAAAGAAATTACTTCACATTCATGTTCTTAATAAGCTGGGATAGTTTCCCTGCAAATAGACATCAAAATCAGTTCCCATCTGGATTATATATTTAAAGCAGTATCATACCACTTTAAACAGTCATGCCCCCCCACCGCTATTTAACCCTCATCCACACAAGAATAGGAGTCAACTCCTAGGGGCCGAGGTCTCTTTGCCCTCCCCAATAAAATATTTGAGGGGCCGCCCCCCAATGGTGTGGGTCCGCCCCATCATGTGATTGGTTATGTGGGCCAGTTTCTTATTTGATCCCAAAATGTCCTGCTTCCCTTAGGACGTCCCTATTTTCATTGGAGAAATGTTGGATGGAGTTATGTGATCCCTGAGTCAAGGAGATAAGTAACCACAGTACAACCTTTAGAAGAAATCTGAAGGCAGCCCTGCATAGGGAAGTTTTTTTAAATGTTTTATTCTGTTTTTATTTATGTTGGAAGCCTCCTAGAGTGACTGGGCAACCCAGTCAGATGGTCGGGGTAAATAAGATTATTATTATTATTATTAATTAGGACATCCCTATTTTCATCAGAAAAATGTTGCAGGGTCTGCGGTTATAAAACACCAAAGCAACATTCACACCATACAGTTAAAATGCTGTGGTACCACTTTAAACAGTCACAGCTATCCCAAAAATTCTGGAAGCTGTTGTTTGTTAAGGGTGCTGAAAGTTGTTAGGAGACCCCCTATTCCAACCACAGGCCTACACTTCCCAAAGCTCCCTGCGAAGACAGATTGACAGTGAAACCACTCATGACTTTTTCAAGTGGTATGAAAAGGCTACAAATGTATAGTGCAGACGCAGCCTCTATTTATAGAATCAAAGAATTGCAGTGTTGGAAGGGATCCAAAGGGTCATTTTAGTCCAACCCCATGACAGATGGCCATCCAACCACTAAAAACTTCCATTGAAGGAGAGTCTACTACGTTCTGAGGTAGTCCCTTCCTCTGTCAAACAGCTTGTACCTCAGAAGGTTCTTTCTTTTTTCCCCTTTTATTTTTTCCCAGAAGGTTCTTTCTGATGCTTAGTTGGACTCTCCTTTCTTGTAATTTGAATCCATTGGTTAAGGTCTTACTCTCTGCAGCAGCAGAAAACAAGTTCGCTGTAACTTTTATGTGACAGCCCTTCAGATATTTGAAGATGGCTATCATATTACCTCCCTGGAAAAGTCCCTGATGTTGGGAAAGATGGAGGGCACAAGGAGAAGGGGATGACAGAGGACGAGATGGTTGGACAGTGTTCTCGAAGCTACCAGCATGAGTTTGACCAAACTGTGGGAGGCAGGGGAAGACAGAAGTGCCTGGCGTGCTCTGGTCCATGGGGTCACGAAGAGTCGGACACGACTAAACGACTAAACAACAACATCATATTACCTCTAAGTCTTCTCTCCTCCAGGCTAAGCATACCCAACTCCCTCAAGCATTCCTCATCAGTTTTGGTTTCTATACCATCTTGTTCACCCTCCTCTGCATACATTTGAAACTTGTTCAACTCTTAAGACTTTCCCCAAACTATCCAAGTTTCTTTTGGTTCTGAATCTTTTAGAGTGGACATAGGTGACTCTCTGTTATATGACAGTTGTTTGCTGTCTAAGGGGTTACTCTAGATCAGGGATGGAAAACCTGTGCCTCTCCAGATCTTCAATCCCCAGCATCTCCAGGTAGGGCTGGGAGGAACCCCTGCCTGAAAATCCTACAGAGCTGCTGCCAATCAATGTAGTCCCTGCTAAGCAGCTTCCCATGTTTCTGTGCATGCTGTCCTGTTTACACTGTTTATGTTTTGCTACTTTAAGTGGCACATTCCCCCCCCCCCCACATACTAGGAATTGTTGCTTGGGTCTAATACTAAGGGTTCTGCTGCAGATCCTTTTCTCTTTCCCCTCATCCCCCTCAAATACAATTCCCAGGGTTCCTTATGGAAGAGGAATTAATATTAATCTGGTATGTCTGAACAGTGTAAAGATGTGTTGAGAGAGGAGTAAAGAGAGAAAGCTGAAGAATGATGGACAGACATGTAAATTATTTAAGGTGTTTATTTATACCTCCTTTCTGCCAAAACACTCAAGACAGCTTGCAATTTTGTAAGCACTGTTTACAATCTAAGAGGCGAAGTGAAAAAGGAAAGGAAAGGAAAGGAAAGGAAAGGAAAGGAAAGGAAAGGTGAGAGGGGGATAAGGAGAATCAGGGACCAGCCCCTTCATGCGGTCAAACAGTGAAGTTACATAATGGGTGTCCACACATTATATTCAGGGAGTGTACAATATGTATCTCTGTGTGCAAAATAGGTGAGTTGTATACTCCTACAGTTATTAACACATAACACTTCAGAAGTGTGGAGTCTATGGGCTATATCTAATATTATTCACACTCAGAGTGGACCAGTTGAAATGAATGAACAGAACTTAGGTTCATTCATTTTAATTGGTTCTACTCTGTGTAAAACTTAACTGGATGCGACCCTGTGTATTTCTGTATACAACAGCTGAGCTATTTAAAAAATCACTTACACACCTATACTTCTACCTAAGTAGAGACAATTTGTACCCAAGATCATTCTAATGTGTAGCCAAGCCTGCAATAACAAAATGACCTGGTGCAATGGCTGCTGATGGAGGCAATACCACGAGGACAGGAACCAAATGTTAGTTGGCCCCAGTGAGGCTGCTGGAGAGGCCTTCACTAACTCACCACTCCTTCTGAGCCAACCAAGTGATGAAAGGAAGTATCCAAATGAAGAGAGCGTATATAAGGCCCTGTGCTTTGGAGGCAAAAGTGGTTTCTGCGTCTGAGAATGCTGAAGGTAACTGTTCTAGATGAACTGTGGTCTCCTCCGGTTCTAGGATGTCTTCATCCATACCTATTGCCATTAAGCCATGAGTTCACTCACATCTAGCATTGCATAAACTACTAGAGCTAAACATGTATCCAGTCGATGATCCTCACCAAAACAGAGCCTCATTTGCGGAACAGAACAAAACTGGAACTGAAGGAAAATAAACCTAAAAGAAAAGAGAGGAAGGAAAAAAGAAAAGAGTGGGAGGAAAAGAGAACACAAGTTCTACATGAGTAGGAATGTGGAACATAATATAGGAAACCTTATACTGGTGTTTCTCAGACTTGGAGACCAGCTATTGTTGGACTGACTAGAACTCCCATCATCCCTAGCCAGCAGGACCAGTGGTCAGGGATGATGGGAGATGTAGTCCAACAAGAAAGCATAGGTTACTCTAGTTTGAGAGACACTGCTTATGATGAGTCACACCATCTAGATTAGTGACGCAGAGGCTGTTAAGGTTTTAATACAGGGTTATTTCACAGCCCTATTGAACCGTGCACCCTCTGCATGCAAAGCAGATGTTCTACCACTGAACTACAGCTCTTCTCTCTTTTCTCATTTTTTAAAAAAGAATTATTTAATCCAAGAAGTAGACATCTTTAGGAGAGAAAGATATTGGAGAACCTATGACCTATCATTCCTGACCAGTGGGCAACCTGGGGCTGATGGGAGTTGGAGTCCAGCATAATCTTGAGATCCACAGCTTCCTCCCTGTCCTGAAGTCCTTTAGGACTTAGACCTATGTGCAACAAAGATAGACAAGATAGCCTGGTCCCAGTGGAGTGGTGCCTACTAGTCCTGTGTAGCTAAGTCTTTGTTGCAAATAGGCCAACAGGAACATCCTTTTAAAGAAGCCAGCAAGAACTGCTTCCTGGCAGGAAGCATGCTTCTCAGTCCTCTTGGGAGGACTAACTTTATAGCACTATAAGCACCAGGCCTCTGGCCTTTCTCAACTGATCAGCGTCAAGCAAGATTTTGGCCATCTTGTGTATTCAAGCTAGCCAGGTGTGACTCATATAGACAGAAATGAGCGCTACCAATAGCGACAAGGCATTATAACTTTAGTAACAAGTTATAATTATTATCTTCTCCATTTGCCTCCGGCAGTTCATTCTCTAAATGGCAGGGGCTAATTTAATTAGTACCTGGAACTGGGAGAAATTAGGTCACCTCTTCCCATGTGAATTTTTGTGCCAATATGGGTTGGTGTTTCTCCCCCTCCCTCCCTGCCTTCCTCTACCCTTCATATATTTTCTAATTGGGTAAATATTAATTAGTTGGAATTTTGTGCAGAAGATGAAGACATTAAGCTGTCATTAACAAACAGGTCCCTTCCGTCTCATCCCCAAACACCTCACATCTATAGCATGAAGTTATCAAGGCATCTCTCTCTCTCTCTCTCTCTCTCTCTCTCTCTCTCTCACACACACACACACACACTCCCATGATTTATGTGAGCTTCCAGTGCAATAGGAAATGCAATGAATCTCCTTTTATCAGGTAATTATCTATTGAATGATACATGGAATTCTCAGCAGGCTGGGATTGGGGAGAAGTAGCTGGGAACAAATAGTGGTGCAAAGACAGGCGCCTGCAGCTTTCAAGCTACAATGCTTATGAAGGGTAATGCTAGGGTTGCCGTATTTCAAAATGTAGAAACCAGGAAACTATCAAAACTGTTGAGCTTTTTCTGAGACAAACCCAAAGGCTTCTTCTTCTTCTTTTTTACAAAAATGACACAAAACCCACACAAAGCAGATTTTTTGATTGCCTTGCCTAAAATCCCGGCAATGTCCAGGAAAATCTGGCCATATGGCAGCCCTGAGGGAAAGGGAAAGGGACCCCTGACCATTAGGTCCAGTCGTGACTGACTCTGGGGCTGCGACGCTCATCTCGCTTTATTGGCTGGTGTACAGCTTCCGGGTCATGTGGCCACCATGACTAAGCCGCTTCTGGTGAACCAGAGCAGCGCACGGAAACACTGTTTACCTTCCCGCCAGAGCGGTACCTATTTATCTACTCGCACTTTGATGTGCTTTCGAACTGCTAGGTGGGCAGGAGCAGGGACTGAGCAACGGGAGCTCACCCCGTCGCGGGGATTCGAACTGCTGATCTTCCAATCGGCAAGTCCCAGGCTCTGTGTTTTAACCCACAGAGCCACCCGTGTCCATATTGCAGCCCTAGGTAATGCTGAATTTCTGGTGCAGATTTTGTGCCTGTGGGAGGGTGAAAGGAGAAATGCCTTGTGTTCACCTAGGGACATTTTCTCTCTCGCTCTCTTTCTTTTAAAAAAGTTGTTAGGCAGTGAGAAACAGATCTTTTTTGATGGATCATATGGAACTGGCAGAAATGACTGGCAGAATCCGAGACCAGGGAGAAGAGTCGGTGGAAGAAGATTGGAAGAAATTTAAAGACTATCTACAGAAATACTGCAAAATTAATGAATGTTAGAATGATATCAGAATGAAGTTAAGTGGTTTTAGCAGCAATGTTATTAAGGTGTATGTAAAAATGGATTGTTAACAGGTGAAAATCCAAAGTTATAATATATTAAGTTACAGGATTAAGACAAAAACAAAGAGGGAAAGGGATTGCTGAATTAATTAATAGAACTGGAATACAAAAAAGGGAGGTGTGAGGAGGTCAGGGAAGCAAGGAAATGAAATGTAAGGCATGGAAAGATTGATGTGTTTTTTAAGTGTTTTTTATCTTTTTTCTGTATTTTGTATTTTTTTTTCTTTTTTTCTTTTTATTTATGTAATCTTTTCTTTGAAACTTTAATAAATATCATTTAAAAAAAAAAAAAGAGAAACAGATCTTTTTTTTTTTAATAAAAAGCCCTGAACATATATATTAATATATGAGCATATGTCCAAATTGATATCCAAATGAGAATTACAGTGCTAAGAACATACACACAGGACGGCTCTGCTGGCCAGGAAAGATGAAGCCGAGGTGGGTGAGGGGCTGGAGGCAGCGATACACTCGGAACAGCCGTGCAAGCTGCTTCTACCTGCTCTTCTGCTCTCTCCCACTCTCTCTGCACCATTTTGGTGCCATTTCCTGGTTCTGATCATTTATTTATTTATTGCATGGCAACAAACATAAACGTGGTTGTGCAGGAGTGGAATGAGCCAGGGTTTTTTTTTTGTTGGGGTGGTAGTGGTGGTGGAGTGTTTAGCGAAGGCAGTGGCCTGATATCAATGGGTAGGGAGCTCTGAAGTGTAGGTTCTGCTGCACTAAAATATCAGTTTCTTACAACAGCAGAAGGGTAATGTGTGGCACCTGTAATAGTGCCAGGTCCACAGATTGAAGCTGCTGAGTGGGCACCTATCGGGTAAGGCACAAGAAAACGTCCCAAGCTGTTAAAGCCTTTATATACTAATAGCATCACTGCCTTGCCGTGGCGAAGGGGCTTGAATAACTCAGAGAAGCTATGAGCTATGCTGTGCAGGGCCACCCAAGATGGACAGGTCATAGTGGAGAGTTTTGACCGAACGTGCTCCATCTGCAGCAGGAACCGGCAAGCCACTCCAATATCCCTGCCAAGAAAACACCATGGACAAAGACAACAGGCATATAAAAGTTATGACGCTGAAAGATGAGCCCCTCAGGTCGGAAGGCGTCCAACATGCTACTGAGGAAGAGCAGAGGACAAGTACAAGTAGATTCCAGAGCTGATGAAGCGGCTGGGCCAAAGCCGAAAGGTCGCTCAGTTGTGGATATGCCTGGAAGCGAAAGGAAAGTCCAATGGTGTAAAGAGCAAACTGCGGGAGGCAGTGGAAGACAGGAGTGCCTGGCGTGCTCTGGTCCATGGGGTCACGAAGAGTCGGACACGACTAAACGACAACAGAAACACACTGAATTTGGCCCGGCAACAGCTTCTTTTAGAGGCTATTTTTCAGGGTCTTGGGGAGGTGGAGAGAGAGAGCTGTTCAAAGAAATCAGTGGAGAAGCCCAAGGTTTTAATGAAGCTGGGATCAGACCCCAAGGATCTACCACTCCCATGACCAAAACACCCCAAATAGCCCAGTGATGACTGGCTCTGCTCTGTAGACATGCACTAGTTGTTGTTGTCGTCCTTGCTGGTCGTACTGCCTTCTCAGTGGTGGCTCCATTTCTGTGGAATGCCCTCCCCAGTGAGATGCATTGGTCTCCCTCATTATTGACCTTTCAGAAGGAATTTAAAAGCATTGGTGAAAGGTGGAAGGCATTTGATGCCTGAAATATACTGTGGCTCGCAAGCTTGGATTTATTGGCTGAGAGATAGTTTTTAATGTTTTCGTTGATATTGTTATTGGGATGTTTGCCACCTTGAGCTGCTTTGGGAGGAAATGTGGATATAAATGGAATTCTCCTCCTCCTTCCTGACTAAAGGAGGCAGGGGGAGGAAATGGAAATCAAAGCAGAGGAAAAATGCAATGGAGTATCCTGGGAGAGGATATGACAGTCAGTCAAACTGAAACACTGAACAGGAGTGTTCCATGCTTCTACATTTGGCTGCAGATCTCACTTCTGTCCCCCTGCCCCATTCTTAAAAGTCTCCAGCTGTGATCTAGGGGGAGAAATGCACTAAAAACGAAGCCAATCACAAATCATCCTCAGTATAAGCTTCTTCTTCTTTTAAAATATTTGTCTGCTGGAAGCTTTACGTTCCAGTAACTTTCTCTTTCTAATCGAAATGTGTCCTAAATGGTAGACCTTATTTTGTATCTCAAGATAAACATTGCATTAAGGGAGGTGGAGGAAAATAAAAAAAAATCTAATATGAACGAGAAGAAAATCAAAGAAGTGAAACTGAAAGTGACAGCAAAGATGGCGAGGCCAGGGGTGCGGGGGAGGGAATCAGTTTTGTATCAACAGGAATGCAATAAGCCTGAGAAGTGGAAGAGCAAGCTATCTGGAAATCTAGTAAAAACAAATAAACTCTCCTTCCTCGACAGGCCACAACTAAAGCTTCCAGAGACAGGAGAGAGTGAAGCAGAAGATGGAATGAATGAGTAATAAACAGAAGTTTGGGCCCATCCCTCCAACAATCCATTGCCAGGCAGGAACAGTGGCCAAAGTGAGCGGAGGAATTGATGTGACTCTTACCTTTGTAGTACAGGCTACTACTTCTTCGGCTACATACCAGCTATGCAAAAACTAGAGTTTTCTACATACACACACCTCTCCATCCTCCATCCAGGCAAGCAGGAGGCACTATCACAATTCAAGGACACATTTCAGAAAGGCAAGAGCACTCAGAGGAAGAATGGAGCAAGGCCCGTGATGGGTGTGGCATGAGGATAGTTCTGAGAACCATAGAGAGAGGCCCAGGAGGCCACATTTCAGCCCCAAGCCTGAGATCCTATGCCCCTGTTTTAAAGCTTTGGCAAGGAAATGGATGTTCTCTGCCTGCCTTGAGGCAGCTGGGGGCCACCATCATGGTCTATGGATGCAAATGCCAAATGACGCTATTGCAATTGTGTAGGGTCTCTAAATAACACACAGTTGTCAAGAATGACAACTGGGCAGCAGACCTGAGAACACTCGCCTCAT